TGCTGGCTGCAACTGAGCTGGAGAAGCAGATACGTTTTGGCATGGCAGGCAGTAGCCGTCATTTTGATCGATAGTCGGGACACGGAACATTTCATGTTCAACAAGTCTTTTGCTGCTTGTAATTAAGGCTTCTCACCTTCGCTGCCATGAGCGTCTGAAGGACCGAGCCTGGGGTAACGGGGATCGTCAATATTGCGACCTTTGTACGCACTTCAACGAGTGTCAACTGAATGCGACATTCATTTTTCATTAGACACAAATATGGGCAGACTTGGGACCGAACTGGGGCTGTCTTGTATAGTAATGGCGAGCGGGCTCTGGCAATGATTATCACAGGATTCACGCCTCTGTTCCCTTCGCTGCTTGACACAGTCACACAGATACAATCTCGCTTCATTTTGTTCAAGACATGAAACGGAAGAGCCAGTAGCCGTAGAAACGACATGACAAACATAGTCATTAGCTAAATGTGGGGATCGCTCACTAATGTGAATTTAATTTGTGTTTGCTTTGTTTAAATGCCTTTCTATTAAAGAGTGGTTAGTACTCTATACTTACGCCCTGTCATATCGATGAGATGAGGTCCGTTTTCCAGTGTTTCGATGTCATTATCGTCGCATTAGATCCGTTGGTAGTATTTGCCAAGATTAGATAAATGTAATTGGATAAAAAATTGTATTTTTCACAAAAATATATATATCTTATAAAATATAAATGAATGTTGGCTAAATAGGCCAGGATAACAGAAATTGTGCTTGTATCACACCTATGTGTTTCTACGCTCCTCATATTTTTGATACGTTCAAGTTTAATTAAATTATAAATATAACAGCATAATAAAAAAAACAAGAGAGAACGCTACAGTCGAGCAAGCCCGACAGTGTAATACCCTGTACCCAGTTAAACTTCCGTCACTGAGTTATATGCGCCCAAAGCAGCAGCAAAAAGAGGAAGAAGAAGAGCGAACTTGTTGCTGCAGTTTGGGGGGGTTGTACTGGCGAGAATTTGTTTCGCTAATAACTTTTCTTAGAATCGACAGAATTGAATAAAACAACAAATAATTAAACAACAGTAGATATTTATTTACAAATCATGTGTGCAAAGTTTGGTTTATGTAGCATTTGAAATGTGGACGCTATTGACAAAATTCTGCAGCGGGGGAAGGAGGGGAAAATTAAAAAAAAAAAATAAACTCGTCCTTACTCGGATCTAGGAGAATCTGGATGCCAACTTTGGTTATTCTAGCTTTTATAGTTTCTGAGATCCTCGCGTTCATCCAGACGGACAGACGGACGGACAGACGGACGGACGGACGGACAGACGGGCAGACGGACGGACATGTCTAGATCGATTTCTCTCGTCATGCTGATCAAGAATATATATACTTTATGGGGTCGGAGATGCTTCCTTCTGTATGTTACATACTTTGCACAAACCTAATATACCCTTTTTACCCTACGGGTACAGGGTATAATTAACATGGAACGCCTTTTCTTAAATAGTCGTCGTTTTCCGAAGAAACCCTTTGCTTCAATGCTCTGAGTCTGATTCGTTCCATGGATTTTTCAAAAGGTTGATATTACCATATTACGCCTTGCTCAATCATTTTATTATTTATGTTTTTTATTATATAATGTTATATATTTGTGTTTTTTTTTCTAATGGTGTTGTTGTTGGGCGCGTTCAGCAGGTCGTAGCGATTTGCGATTTGTAATCGATCATTACTGATTTCACCTGCCGATCGCTGTGATGTGTGATTCGGTAAGTAAAAATGTCAATCGAAATATCAAAACACAAATCGGGAAAATATTATGATTACCTGATTTAGATTTTTCGTTTTTGACACTACATAGTCCGAATTTTGCGGAAATATATAAAATGGCAAATTGCACCTAAGAAGCTGTGACTTTTTGACCAAAAATACTAAAATCAGAATATTTTATTAAAACAGTTATCACAAGCGGTCAGCAGAGGCAAATCAACAATCGCAAATGCTACGACCTGCTGAACTCGCCCAATAATATCTTTTAAAACTATTGCAAATATCTGTTAATAAGCAGAATCTAACCTGATGCAAATGTTAACAATGTCCGATATGAAAGTAATTTCATTAGCTTCATGGCTTATTTTTAAGATTGCCTAAATTTTTCCCCTACTTTTGGAGCACTTTAAAAAGCATAGTTTTACAACGAAGTAATAGATTTTTATACCCTGTACCCAAAGGGTACAAGGGTATATTAGTTTAGTGCGAGTGCACATGGAACACACAGAAGGAGGCTTGGTAGACCCCACAAAGTATATATATTCTTGATCAGCATGACAAGCCGAGTCGATATAGCCATGTCCGTCTGTCCGTCTGTCTGTCCGTCTGTCTGTCTGTATGAACGCAAGGATCTCCGAAAGTATAAGAGCTAGAATAACCAAACTTGGTATACAGATTCTCCTGAGACCGAGAAAGGACGAGTTTGTTCATTTTTTCTGATCCACCCCCCCCCCACTCCCCCCCTATTAACGATTTTCTATAACTCCCGTAATTCTTGGAATTTTGAACTAAAATTTGGTAGTCACATTAGGTTAGTAATTATATAACCGTATACCAAGTCTCATTATGATAAAATAATCGGAAAGAAAGTTATAGCCATATAACCAGGCTCAATGCACACATACATACATATGTACAAGTACACAAACACGCATAGACACGATTCTGATGTAATTGTAAATGTATGTATGCATGCATGGAATATTTTATATTTAATTAGTTAATATTTAGTTAATTAATTTAATTAATTTAGTTAATTAATTTAATTAAATTAATTAATTAATTTAATTACTTTTTTGTGGGGTGGTACAGGGTATTTAAGAGTTGAGCCTGCTCGACTTTAGCATTCCTTTCTTGTTGTTATTGTTTTGGATTGCCGGCACAGCATTACATTTTGAATCAGTAACTATTGTTATTGAAAAACACTTTCAGCTTATTGTTCAATTTTCAAATGGTCTTTAATCCTGACATAGGAAAATAAGTAGAGTAGGTATATTGGGAAGGACAGGAACAGTTAGTATTTTCAAAATGCGTAATTTTTTCGAATGCCGATAAACAGGTTCAACAATGTGTGCATTTGAGTTCTGTAATTGGCAGCTACTGCCATTTATACCGATGGCTATCTCGGGTATTACACCGGTGTTGTATATACAAGTAGAACCAATATATGTATATATGTACGTATTCCTGAAATGTGCGTCAGTTCCCAACGAGTAGACCCGGTGCGATACAGTAGCAATTATTTTCTATTTACGTACGACCAGACCAGACCAGACCAGACCAGGCGCAAAGCGAAGCAATAGATATACCCAAATTGATTAGGAACGACATTTCCGTCACGATGGCCCGACATAAGTAGGCTTGACCTAATCGCTGGCAACACCGGCTGAATTCCCAAAGAGCCAATTCCGGGTAATGCGCCAACCTTGGACGGCCCCCCTTGGCCAAATACCATCTAAGTTCACGTTGACAAACTAAACAACAGCAAACAACAATAATAATAATAATGACAACAACTCCGATAACAACGAAAAAAAAAGTAAAACTGAAACAACAGCACTAACAACAATAACAGTAATGACAGCTAAAGTCCTCGCAACATTGTTATCTTGGGCAAACAATCTAAATGATATATTAAGCGCAAAGCAAATGCACGCTCTCTTTGTCGCCACATACTTGTATATATATTTATATATATATCTCTCTCTGTCTCCCTCTTGTGGAAGAGTGGTCTTTCTCTCTGGTCCTATCTTTATCTTTGGCTGGCTGCTTGCCTGTTATTCAGTCGCGAGTTAAATTCTCCAATTATGCGGATTATTAATTTAACTGGGTCGTTAGTTAGGGCCCCCTGCGTGTCCTGCTTGTGCTCTGAGTGTGCGCTTGCTCGCTCGCTCGCTCGCCCGCCCTCCTGTCTCCGCGTATCTCCGACTCCCCGCCTCCCTAAGTGTCGCTGTCGCCGTTGCCGTCGTCGTCGTCGTCGCCATCGCCAACGCCGTGGCCGTCAATGAAGCGGCCCCTGGCTAGCCGCTTGTCGTTTCACAAGTTGTCAAAACTTGTCATTTAACCGACAATGAGCCTTGTTTGCTTTAATCGTAGTTATTATGCATTCGAGCAACTTGGTTTGCTGCCTGCTCGCCACATCTCCGCATTATTAATGATGCCAGCAGCACTGTAGGCCGCGTCGGCAGGTGCTCGGCCCGGCTACTAGCCTACTAGCCAGTGCCTCTAATTAGGCCCAGTCGCGGCTCGGGCGTGTTTCGGGCTCTGCTACAAAACAACGTCCGTCTCGTTATTTGGTCATTGTACTGCGAATTGGATTTGATGTTTGATTAGCGGCGGCATGATTTATAAGCCCAGCCGGGAATCGGTCGTCAGGCAGCGGCTGTGTTCTGTCAAATTAATTCTCACTGGCCGCCGCTTCGAAGATTGCCAATCGCTAAAAATTGAGCTGCTAAAGTGATCGCGCAATATTTCAGCGTTATTCGCTACTTCCTTTAATTGGTTTCATAACTGCGGAGTGGCTCATTTGTCAATGTGGCGATCGATAAGTTCGCCAGACAGGTGGAAAGTCATACTTGAGCGGCGTGCGCCCCTACAGGAGAGGGAGAGGGAGAAGGTTCCTGTTCCTAAACCTGCGGTTGTTTCATCGCTAGGCCGGTTTCCTCAGGCCGGTCTGGTCAACAGGTGACCAATGCGTAGTGCTTTTGTTTTGTTATTAAGTTGTTAAGCTAAATTATTGTATTTTAAAAATATTACTCGCATTAAGTTTTGTTTCTTTCCTCACATTTTGGGTTTAAGCCTTCGGCGACATTTAACAGTTCATGTATTTATATGACCTGACGCGATCCCTTTTATAGCACTTTTTGTTTGTGTCGGCGTTGAGGCAGGAACCCCGGTTCCCAGTGTAACAAGCGAATTTACACGAGTATTGACACAAGTAATTGTACGATAAAAATATTGTTTCTTAAGAACTACAAGTAAATTGCTTTTTATTTGCAATTGCAATTTAGCATCGAAATCAAATAAGTTCTTGGTTGTATAAAAAGATTATCTTACCGTTGCTGGATCCTGAAAAGAAAGAAAAATACATTGTTATCAAGGTTTCAATAGAATTTGTAATTTAAGAATGATGCCTATTTATAATATTATATCAATTTGAAAGATTCAAAGTTTTTCAATAGAAACTAAACTTCACCTTCTGATAGATCGCAGCACCATCGAGCAAAGATTGTTTATTAAATATGAAAACAAAGAAAAATACATTGTTTTCAAGTGTTCAATAGAATTTGTAATTTTACATATATCCATTTGAAAGCTTCAAAGTTTTTAAACAGAGACTAAACTTTACCTTCTGATAGATCGCAGCACTATCAATCAAAAGATTGTTTATGCAAAATATTATTTTAACATAATAATAAAGTCGATAAAATCGAATATTTGAGACCAGAAGTTTCTATTGGGCATAATATTTTACGGATCCCAGCAATTCACGATCTTCATTGTTATAGCAATGATTCGTGGGTGGGAAATCGTAATGAATTTCGGTGGCAGCCGAGCACCTTCGGTTTTATAAGCATTTCAGTATGATATCGAAATTGAACAACAAAAATATGCTGTACGAATTAATTTGATGAAATCGGATTCATTTCGTTTCGATTGCTGATTTAATTGTTTGACTAATTGAGAGATTTTTTTGCGCTGGCATCTGCGAACTCCCAAAGCGCGCATACGGACTAGTCGCTGCGTCATTTGCTCCATTTGGCACTCGGCGAGCTTAATGACTTGATTTGGACGGCTGATGCGGCGCGGGTCCAGTTGGCAGATTGCTCTCGGTTGATTAGCCAACCTGGAGGGTGAAGAGGGGAGAGCCGAGGGCGGTGACAGTCAGTGGAGTACGTGCAACAACGCGCACTGTCGCAAATGTCGCCGCGAGTAGAGTAGTTGGAGCTTTGGAGCTGTGGAGTTGTGGGCCGGCAGAGCGGCGACAATGATTCTCCATATATGCACTAGAGATGGGCATAAAAACCTTAAATTTCATGCGGAATTAATTAACCGCTGCTTCTGGTGGCGGTGGCGGCGGTTGCGGGAGCGCAGTTCGTGCTGCCACCGCCGCCCAAGTAGCGGGCTTTGTTTTTCTTGCCTCAATTGATGGCCGGTCAGAGACAACGCGGGAACACACAGAAGTACTGCCAGCGATTGGGAGCGCACTGGAATTTCATTGAGAAACGTGCTCTGTGGCCAGGCATTGGCATTGGCTGCTGTGGATGCAGCTGTGGCACCAGCAGGTCGTGTCCTCATCGCTCAGTCATGCTCGGCACACTCATTGTACACATGGAGAGCATCGCGATATATCGCCAGCAGTCCGGTGGTTGCTTGTCTTGCGAATCTATGTTGTGGCGCCATTAGCTGCCATTGGCTGCCCCGCGTCGCAATTAAATTACAAGCGGCGGCGACATTGAGATTTATGCAAAGCATATACACACGACGACGGCGACGACGACGACGACAACGACGGTGGCAGCGGTGCAGTCATAAACCGGCGCTGGGAACGGGAACAGGAACGGCTGCACGTCTTGGTTGGCTCTTTCTTGCTCGAATGACATCACGATGGACCACCTCCGCTGGGATTCGTCGCTTTCTTGATGCACAACTCAATTTGGATGCTCTGTTTCAGAGTTGTTCGGTCTAGTTCAATACGTGAACTAGTTCTGTATCAGCACAGACTGGCTGTTCTCACATAGTTCGAAATATGTGAACTAATTAGATAGTATGCACATAATAGTCGAAAAACTCTAGATCAATACAGAACTTATGGATGAAGAGTATTCTCAGCTCAGTTTCCGCACCAAAAACAAAATATCTAAACTTGATGGTAATGCTCGTGCTTAGCAAAATTAGACGAAAGCTAATGTCGAACATGAATAAGAAGATAAATATTCTGTCAATCTGAATATTTTTCCTAACGCGTCGTTCAACTACTATTTGGAAACTCGCCTAAATGTAGCTCAGATGGTCCAACCATAAAAGAGTGTTCCCGAACCAGTTCCAAGGGGCTTCCAACAGCACTATTCGGCGTTGAATGCAGCTCAGGCTTTGACTACACACTCCCAAATTGCAACTATCGAGCAGTACTTGGGGCTTCAGGTTGGGCGAAGAACATAGGGTTAGGCAGGGAAGTTATTTAAGCAAAAACACTTGTTCATCGCAGCACAGGCAGCTTCTTCAAAATCGAATCACGTTCGCCCAATTTTGAGCGCTTGACCAACGTTAACCAAGGCGATAGGGTGCGCCGGCAAGTTGCCGACAATTTTAGCTCCCTTGTAGGCGATTAAGTTAAATGCCACTAAACTAATTTAAAAGCGATTGCGAATTCATTCAATCTTACCTCTCGATACACTTCGACAAAATAAAATCAATTCTAAAATAAAATCAAAAAAGGAATCGAAGCATTTTAACCGTTTGCTTAAAAGTTTGAAATTTCTTAGAAAAGGTAACTTTCTTAATAACTAATTAAAAATGTTTGAGAGACCAGTATTGGTTGGTCTTTGTCAACATAAAGTCTTGCGAACGTATTGAAACTATGGCGAATATTATCCTGAATAATTATAATATTTAAGTGTTTCATATTAATTTTTCAAAAAGTTCTTAGCACTATAAATAGTTTTTTTTTTCAGTCTCAGAGTTCCAAAGTATTTATGGTTAAGCATATGGCCCCCAATTGAGTTAATCTGAACCCGCTGATTGCGAACAGTCCAATACGAGTACAAATGGGAGACAAGCATTGTTTAATTGAAATTCAGACAGATTGTCAGATTGTAAAATATTATAGAATGATCTTTCCTTTCAGTGTGGGTTCTACCTCCTCTCTCGGACCCCCTTCCTCGGACCACTTCTTTGCGTTTGCTGGTCAACTGCTTGGCAATAGAATTTGCAGGCAAATGCGCCCCATTGTCGCCCGCAAACATCTTGTCCTGGCCACCGTTCACTGGCGGCAGGACACGAGACCGTCCGGCCTTGCCGTTCGCATTGTCACGTACTCGCAGGAAGTGGCCATCAGGGCAGATCTTTGAAAAATAAATACATGCGAAATTGCTTTCCTATATGGAATTTAATTTGCGCTCGCCACAACATGCAATAACCCAGCAATTTCAATTTGCAATTTGCGCACTGATGCAACAGACCCGAGGAGGAGCAGCCCTGTGCCTAGCCCAGACATGGACATTCCGAAGTGCTCGCTATTTATTTAATACAACTGTGTGCGATTGCAGGCGATGACGCCAAATCGCACGGGTTAGGGCGCCGGCGACAAAGAGATCTTGTTATGCAAAATGCTCGCAAATATTACGTAGTTAAATTTATAGTATTATGGCTATTGGTGGCTTGGGAGATGGACATGGAGATGGTACTGGCGGTGACGGTGACGGTGGCGGTGGCAACCTGTTGCGCTCTATGGGACACCCGTGGTCATGGGCATCGTAAAGTGAACGACTTGAGTAACAAATATACATTTAGGATGATTAATTTAAGCACTTTTACGAGGTTTCTTCATGACGCTGTTGATTTATTGTTGGGCCGTGCGACGCATTTCCGTCAGGATACCTGGCGTAAGAGAGACCCGCCGACCCGCCGACCAAACAAACGTCTGACTGACCGACCAACTGAACGACCGACGAACCCTGCGACCAAGCGGATAAGCGACGGGACGGTTAACGTTTTATGGCTGGTTTAAGGGGCGATAAAAGAAATTAAGGGCTCTGCCCAACTTCAGCGCCGTGGGATGCACAAGTTGTAGGCGTGCTGTGAGACTTTCGAGTCTCTGTGAGTGATCCCAACTGGGTTTTCATTCTAATTCTTAGCCGATCGCAAGGCAAAACTTTGTAATACACGTCCCGTATCTGGCAGTAGGTGCATGTTGCCTTCAGCCGCATTTACTATTTTGCATAAATCATAATGTAATCTGCATCTGGAAATGAAAACGAAACGAAACGAAGCGAAAATGTCCAAGCGTTCATAATTAACTGCGCGCACCCAAACCGAAGGCATCTGTAGGCGACATGGCGGCACAGCTGCAGGACCTCTCGTCGACTTGGGTCCCAAAAACCAGCATCTGCATAAGCCAGCCAGTCAATGGAGCACGGAGACCGAACATCGGCAGTCAAAGCAACAGCAAAGGCAACAGAAACAAAAAACAAAAAAAAAAAAACACTACTAAAATCAACAACAACATGTGAGCGAGAAACAGCAGCCGACTGGGGACTGGAGTCTGTCTGAGATTCATTTCGATGACGATGCCGATGACGATGGCCACGACGAAGACGACAAAGGCGCAGGCTAATGGAAAAGCCCTCACCTTATGCGCAATCGCGAAATCTACGCAATGCGCGGTCATTGGGCGCACACTCGCCAAAACTATGGGAAATAATTTATGCCCCCAGCCAACAGAGCGCAGCAAACACATTGACGCAACATGCTCCTTGGAGCCATGCACCAGGCAGGCAAGCTGGCACGCTGGCAGCCTGGCTGCTTGGCTGTCTGTCCTCTGCCAGAGCCAGTGCCTCGGAGCCTGTCTGACTGTCTGCTTGCCTGATTGCCACAGCAGTGGAAATCAACAAAATTATAAATTAATGAAATTTATGCACAATGAAATTGCAACAGAAATTATTAATGCAGCCGTTCACGCTTTAAATGCACCCTAAATCAATAAAAACGTTTCGCAAAATTATTAATATGGCCCGTGAACATGCAGCTTCGGAATAGCCTGGCGCTAAGCCCATGGCCATGTGGGCCAGGCGCCCAGGCGCCGGATATGTTAAGCTGCATAACATGCGCCACGGTACATGGAGGCACAATGTCCGATTTGCTTTGATAGTTGCGATCAGCGGGTTAAATCAAGCGTAGGGTGTTTCTGGTGAAGTTGCCACTCGAAGCACCAGCAGTTCCGAAGAGTGCCGCTAGTCGCTAGTAGGACTCACAACACGTTTTGACTAGAATGCTATGAATGGTCCAGAAATCAAACTAAATCGATAGAAGACGAGCTAAAAAACTAGATTCATCTGGTACTTTATCCT